AGCCCCTTTTTTTGGTACTCGAAACTCATTATGAGATTTGCACCCCCCTTTTCAGGTTGCCAAACGCAACATAAACACACGCTACATGTGAACATTTCAGATCCTGCTGCGCCCCCAGAAAGGCCCTGCACGTGATGCAAGGACAGTATCAACTTGTGTGTTTGGCAGCCAATTGTTCGGGGCGCTAACGTCAATATGAGCATGCCAAACCGACAGCTCGATTTGCACATGGTTTTCGCACAGCGAGCAGAACCATTTTACTACTATGCGGCATGCTAGAAATAGGATTCCGCATTCATGAGCGTAGGTTCGAAATCTTTGGAACTGCTTTCCCCAAACGCGTCGCAGCGCATAGTCCATGCATTCAAAAGCGTAGGAAAGGGGATATATGATCTTGCATTCCAAATAAAGTTCACGCTATTTTTTCGTTTAAGATATCATTGCTTACTTCCACTTAATAGAAACGACAGCATGGAGGCCTTTACATGCAAGGGCGGGGGCGTTTCGTTTCACTTGGGAAGCGAAACTCGGAGAGGGCCTGTCATCCTTCGTTTGGTGCTTGACAGCGGGATAGCCCCACAGCCTTGACAGACTCATACTGCGCCCTGTAGCAACTTGCGGGCTTTAGAACTGAGACTGGACGTGTAGCGAAAAAGGGGTTATGGAAGTGGGGACACTGAGTTGGCTCCACGCCTCGAGGCTTTCTTTTTCTGCCGAGGGCTCCCTTTCTTGAAGCGTATCGAAGGCCCCAGCGGGCTCACCCGCTGTGGCTATAGCCCCGCCAAGGTCAGATTTCTCACCTGGCGATCGACCCCGTGAGGGGTCGACTCTGTCCTCTCGGCCTCGACGGACGCAGATCGCGCTATTTTTCCTGTCTGCACATGTCGGTCAGACACAACTCGGAGGCTAAAAAATCAGTTGAAATGTCAGATCCCTGATTTGTCTGTCTAGAAAACGAAACACAGAGCGACACAAACCACACCCGTTCTTGACAACAGCAAGCGGTCAAGTGTGAAAGAAACCAAAGCGCAAGAAAACAAAAGAGTGACGATTTCGAAAAAACCAACGCGCAAGAAAACAAAAGAGTGACGTCCGTGAGAATGATGGTGGGCGCTCGATATAAAAAACTTCGGGTCCCTTTTTATATGGAACCTAAAAATCGAACTGTTCGCAGCAATACGAGAGGATTGTTCCGGTTTCGCGCGCTTTTATCCGTAAGTAAACGTTAACTGTCAAGCAAAGCGAGGAACAGTAAACCTATACTCGATATCATATCGTCGAATAAACAATCACATGTCACTCAGTTTATAATGACTGTATGACATGTCTCGTAAGCCATTAAAGGCCATACAGTAAAGGTTAACCTGGTTGCGGGTAAATGTTTACCCGGGAATGTTAAGGAGTGAACATTTACTCGCAACCATCAACTCGACACCGGGTAAATGTTAACCTGGTTGCGGGTAAATGTTTACCCGGGAATGTCACCGAGTAAACATTTACTCGCAACCATCAACTCCACACCGAGTAAATGTTAATCTGATTGCGAGTAAATGTTTACCCGGAAATGTCACCGAGTAAACATTTACTGGCAACCATCAACTCGACACCGAGTAAATGTTAATCTGATTGCGAGTAAATGTTTACCCGGAAATGTCACCGAGTAAACATTTACTCGCAACCATCAACTCGACACCGAGTAAATGTTAATCTGCTTGCGAGTAAATGTTTACTCAGGAATTTTACCGAGTAAACATTTACTCGCAACCATCAACTCGACACCGAGTAAATGTTAATCTGATTGCGAGTAAATGTTTACCCGGAAATGTCACCGAGTAAACATTTACTCGCAACCATCAACTCGACACCGAGTAAATGTTAATCTGCTTGCGAGTAAATGTTTACTCAGGAATTTTACCGAGTAAACATTTACTGTAAGCAGCGTTGTAACTGTAATTTGTCCTTTGTTTTAATTTAACGTCTCTTTACTTACAGCATCGGTGTATGCCGTTTGTTTAACTTAATGTGTACCTTATCATATACCTTACATCTTTATTTACAACAGAGCTAAGACCCCCGCCTGGTGAATGGGCTTAGGTCTCTTATATCATGTATGCACAATCATCTCGTGGCTTGAAGTTTGTGTGACTTGCAGGACTCCAAAAATTGCGTCCTCTTATCACCATCTCGAATGATAAGTCATGGTCCATTCCATCGCAGTCCTCCGAAAGATCATGATCCAGACATCTCTGCATATTCTTTGGTCCGTCGGTTTCCGCTTCGTTCTACGTGTTGCAGTATTGCGACATCATTCGTACATTGACGATTTCGATTAGCTACGGATGAACTCTCGTTCCTAAGCTGATTTTCTCATCGAAATTTTCGGTTCCGTACTTCAAAAGCCCTCTACTTCAACCTTCGCGTCTGCTACCATTATATTGCAAATAATTTCTTTGTCTCACTACACTTAAATAACAGAAAAAGAAGTAGAGACGAAAGCAGCGTCTTTAACAAGCAGTAAGCTCCTCACATCCCGGGAGGGATTAAGACACTGATGGGAGATGAAATAAGTATGCCCTGCAGTGGAAAATTATGATGATTCTGTTGGCAGCGGTTCCAATTTTGTGGTTCATGCATATAAGTTTCTACGTTTCTGCTGAGCCTATATCTTCAGTTGCAACGATTTGTAAGCTTGTTTCTTAAATCGTTGATACATCATTTTGACGATATCATGCAAAATGTATTTTATCTTTCTAACGCTTTTAGGTTTTTGTGTTTGCCATCGAGGTGTTATGGGTTCACGGACGGGTAAGGCCCAAAAGTAAAAAAGAAGGAGCGCGGTGGGTGATAGAAGAGGAAATGGGCTGTGTACACGTGCAAAAAAAAATACTGCACTCAGCTGCTAATTCTGCTCGGTACCTTGGTTAGGTACCTGGCGGGAATAGAGCAGGGGGCCTCGCAGGCGTGCAGTCCCGATGGAATCAGCAACTTATTGTCCACTGCAACACAAACTCCCTTCTCCCAACAACGGACTCTGCGGCGGCAAAGTTTGGCGCGACGAGTACTTTAATGAGATGCATCCCGTCCCAGAGTGCCAGTGTAATTTGCAAGTGGCCTACACGTTACAGTAAAACCAATATCTCTCTTGTGCGCGAGTACTGATAAGCATTGACTGCACACGAAGTGTGAGAGGGGATTAGAAATACTTCAAACAAGAGAGAATCGATTGATGATCTCTGAGGTTAGAACAGAGACTCGGATGGAAGGCTAGGAAGAATAATTGTGAATCTTGTTCTTGTTGAATGAGACTGAAATTTTCTTTTACATGATGGATTGAAGACAGTATAGCTTGTAGAGGAGCCATGACGGACACACATGTGATATGAGTACACTCGACAAGCGTGGCTTCGTTTCTGACATTATGAATGAATGAAATGATGCACGAAGGTCATGTTTCGTTTCTCTTCAACTGTGTACCAACCGTGAGTACGATAAACACTCGTCGATTATCATTTTTTTAATCTTACAAACTAGAGTTTACGCCGCGCGTCTCCCCCAACGTGAGATATCTGTGGTGCTGTTCGTGACGACAACATTCTTGTGCTACTTTCTGAGAGTCACTGCTCCCGCATGAAGAGAGTTGGCACAAGACTACACGTAGTGCTTCACGTTTTCACAGAAGGTAGAGCAAGGTCAGCGTTGCGTTTAATAGCATAACAGCTATAACTGTAAAGCTCACACAACTTGCAAACAACATACACAATAGTTTGAAGGCTTGTCGACCCCAGCTGCCGCCAAGGCTACCTTGCCTGTAGGCATTGGATAAATTATGCGGATCAGAATTGCCCCCGAATTTTACTGCAATGCGCAAGCACCAGCAGGGGGCAAAAAGGCAAGCCACAGAGTGAGATCGCATTAGTGTGACGCAAACAACGGAGCACCCCTTCCGCTTTCATCGTTGAGTCTGGGACGTCACTTTCGAGGCGTGTATCCGCCGGGCAGAGGAACAGCATTAGTCCCATACTGCGCGTCAACTCCATGGCATTCCATGCAGTCCCTTCCCTCAAGCGGAAAATGTTCTCACAGTTTGGCTTCGTCTCAGCTTTTTCTCTCGGTCGCGGCGGGCGAAACCTTACGGCGTTCCCGTCTCGTCAGAAATGTGGCACTCGGCGGCATCAGCATGTAAAGGCTGTGTTGCGCCCGAACATTGCGGTAGTAGGAGGGGGTCACGGCGGCATCTCTGTGGCACTGCGGTTGATGACGCTACCATGGACGCGATTAACTAAACCGACCGTAACCCTCATCGACCGAAAAGACCGCTTCACTTTTCTTCCAATGCTGTACGAGCTCGCACTGGGCCAAGTCGAGCGATGGGAAGTCGCCCCGAAGTTCACCGATTTGCTTGCCGATTCGTCCATCAAATTTGTGCAGGGGAACGTCGAGAACCTCGACCTGGCTAGTGGAGCTGTGGAAGGGACGCTCATGGGCGAGAAGGGAAGTCCAGAATTTCGGGTGCCGTTTGACCGTCTTGTCTTGGCACTGGGAGTGCAACCAGGTGGTATAGATAAAGTCCCAGGGGCGAAGGAGTATGCCATTCCATTTTATGGATTACAAGATGCTTTCTCACTGAAGGAGCGGATCGCTTCCTTGCGAAAGAACAGCTCGCCTAGTAAGGTTGTGAACATTGTCGTTGTAGGGGGAAGCTTTTGCGGGGTCGAACTAGCTTCTTGTCTAGCGGAAGACTTTGGAAGCGCGGCGAGTGTCATGGTAGTAGAGCCTTCCGATCGCTTGCTCGCACAAGGCACTGACTTCAACCGGCGCATATCAGAAAAGAGCCTTGTGGCTAATGGGGCTGTCACCTTGTATCGGTCCCGCGTGGCCGAGATCACGAAAGATAAAGTTGTGATTGAGAAGCTTGATGGCGGCACTGCGAACATTGTACGCTATCCCAGTGATTTAGTCCTGTGGACTGCTGGCACAGAGGCAAGTTCAGCGTTGCCCAATTTTGACGTTCCGTTGGGGGAAAGGGGGCTCATCGCGACAGATTCACTTTTGCAGGTCAAAGAACATGAGAACCGAATTTTTGCGTTGGGTGACAGTGCGTCTGTCGATATCGAAAGCAAGTACAATGGCACTGCTCAAGTTGCAGTACAGCAAGCAGAATATGCAGCTTGGAATACTTGGGCCTCCTTGATGGGAAAGCCGAAGCTGCAGTATCGGTACGCCCATCTCGGGGAGATGATGGTCCTCGGTGCGAAAAATGCCACCGTGACTACATCGGTTGGACTGGAACTCGATGGCGGCGCGGCGTGGGCAGCGCGACGTCTAGCCTACTTAGCGCGGATGCCGACTGACCGGCATCGGGCAAGAGTGGCAGCTAGTTGGGCTGCAAACCCACTTCTAAGTGGCATGGGAGATCTTGTCAAAGAAAGTAGAAAGTACAGAACTAACAACATCTGATAACCTAAACACAGTTTGTCTTAGAGACATCACCATATTCGAAAAAAGATTCCTAGGCATTTACAGAAAGCACTTCCGCTACAATAATTTCCAGACTCCGGAAAATGCTTCGCACACACTGAGAGTTCTGGCGTTTTTTCTGAACCCGGATACAATAAACGCCTCTCGAATTACATCATCGGATGGAGCATCACCAATGAATCTGCGGACAGCGATTTCCTTCACTTCCTGGTAGGGACTCACCGCCATTTTGCTGGAAAAGTAAGTGGATATTGTCACAGCAACGTCGAATTTTGTCCATTCGGTGAGTGAATAGAATGAACCGACTAGACTGACATCTAAGGATGGAAGTTGCCCTTCAACTACATTCGCACCGGATGCCTCTCCGATATGGCTTTCAAAGTATTCGGTTACATCGTCCATGAAATTCTTCGCGTACAGAAGTTTCTTCGCAGAACAGTGAAGCGCAAAAGGTACCTCTCTAACTGCCTGTATCGTCATCAGCTGATCACGTGAGAGAGACACGGCCCCTTGCACATACGCTTCTAAGAAAGCACCGCTGCCTGACCACGAATCAATAGGATGCACCTGTACTGATTCAACATCGTCTCCAGACATTGTCACCTCGATGTTCATCAAATCACCAAGGGCGCCAGAAATTGCTACGGTGCTGATTTCTTTAGGTCTGAAACCTGCTATCTCACACAAAAGCAAGTTTCGCTCCTTACCTTCCCGGACCTTCAACTTCAATTTTCTGTCAGCTTGAGCCCCAGCGTACAACTCCAAGTCCCTCAGTTGAGATATCAACTGATCTTTCTTCGGCAATAGCATTTCGCTTTCCTCAGCATCCTGGGTTTGGCTTGCAATATTTGAAGATATTAACCCACGAACTTCAGAATTGTAGGCCAAGTCGCTTGCTATTTGCTCCCTTTTCATGATCACGTCTCCAGGCACATCTGGAACCTGGCTATCCTGTTTGAAGTTCAGACTGGCCAGCGCTTCTGCAAGGTTCGCAGTTCGAGAAGTTATGGCCTTCTCCATCGCCCGCAAAGTAGTTACATCTGTCTCACAAGCTTCTGCTGATTCTTCGAGACCATTCCGGATGTCGCTTTCCCACTTTTGACGGGAAAGGACCCAGTCCAATCGGTTTTTGAAGTGACAGGCTTTTCGCAAACGCTTTAGTCCAACTCGGCAATTTGCAACTTCCTTGCCTTCCCGGGAGTTATTTTTCGACATGAACGAATATACAGGGGGATGTTGACGAAGAATATCGCTCTCCAGAGCGCTTATGCGCTCCACGGTCGAGGAGAATAACTCCTTCTGTTTGCGAACCTGAATCTGGAGATGACTTAAGTACTTTTCCTTCTTTGTGAAGTGAAGCATTCGCCACTCAGCAGATGCTTTATCTACATCTGAAGATAATACCTCTGGTGAGAACGATGGCTCACGAATGCATTGGATTCGGTGGTCTTCAAAGCGAAGGTTGCATGACCCTAAAAAGTCAGCCATGCTGAAAAGATCCTGCTGCTTTGCTGCTTTTGCGGCTGATGGCTTCATCTCTGAAACTGAGAGCTCATCCACCTTGGAATCTCGCCCACTTTTTCTCTGCGAAGCACTCCTTTCAAGCATGGATGAGCGAATCTTCGAACCAGGAGCCGAAAGGGGGGTAGAGACCTTTGTTGTGCTGTTGGGCAGAAATTTCTCAGAAACGCAAGCTCGTACTCTCTTTCACGTTTCTGATCTTGGAGTGACCATTGTATTGGTGGTCGGGGGCTCCAATGTGTCTCTATCTTGGATTGCAGCATTAGCCGCCCTGCTACTGTCCGACATCTTTTCCACAGGCGGCTTGTTGTCATCAGCAGAAGACGTCTCAACGCCGTTGGAGACTTGATCCACGCCTTTTGCTGCATTTATCCCATTCTTAGCCTTAGCAGGAGAATTGTCACTCGCGGATGTCTTCTTCTGATTGGGATTGGTGCTATGGAAATGGAGGGTCTCTGTATCATCTGATTCGAAGAGTTTCCGCTGTTCCTTTAGCGGTGATCGCGATGGGGGTTGCGCAATGTTGCATGACGGTGAGGACTTGATATGGTTTTCCGAAGTGGTCCTACGATCCACTAGATCTTCACTTAACTCTTTGTTGCACTCATTTCGGGGTGAGAGAGCACCAGGAATTACTTCACTTTCATGCGGGGAGACGGCTTGCGAGGTAACATCTGTGTCTCGCACGGATGCTGAGACCGCATCTCTTTGGATCGCATCTGCCCGATCCTCAGTTTCTTCCTCGCCGACCTGGTATTGCTTCAGTGCATCTTCTTTGCCGCTCTTGCCGCTCTTGTCATGCTCAATGGTTTCAACTGCATACGCGACCGGGCTTCGCTCTGGTTCTGTCATCTGTTGCTGTGCGGACGGAAAATGAATGGTTACATCGTCGTCCTGCTCATCCTGTTCAATCTGATGTAAGATATCTCCCATTTGCACCGCCGAATGAACAGAAAATCTTTTTGACCTACTGTCATCCTCGATCACCGCTCGATGCCCAACAGCCGGAGCCATACTGCATCGCCGTTGTGTGATGTCATCGTCACCTCCACAGTCGTCTTGCAAAGGCGGTAGTTCGCTGATATAGCCTAAAGATTGTCGTGAACTTGGTTGTGACGGCCGTTCGGCTGGAGGACTGACAGTGGGAAGCACGCTATGCTCAGACTCATTCTCTGTTGCGACATCAGCAGATGCAGATTCGTCGCTATCTAAGAGTTTGTCGATTGCCATTCCGATGCGTAAGTCCCGGGTGATATCCTCGTCCGAGGCTTCAGCTTCGTTGCCATCCGAGAGCACTCCTTCATTAAACTCCGGTGGATCGTTTTCGTCTGTCAAGGCAGCATCGCCCTGTCCTCGTGATATATCGTCGTCAAGAAAGATGCCGAAAGAATGACGCGCGTTCGCAACCGAGCTTCTTCGTAGAGGCACCGGGGAAGGGCTGGTCATAGGCAATGGTGGTCGCGACATACTAGCACTCACCCTGTTGAGAGATACTCTTGGTTCTTTTGGTAGATTGACGGTATCATCATCCTCCACGTCGTCACTCAACAGGCTGTTCAATGACGGTCCTTCCCGTTGTGTGGCACGTGATTTAAGTCTAGGGAGAGGTGTTAACGACGGTCCTGGTCGCGGAGATGCTCGAAGACGTGCGGGAAGAGTGATTGTGTCGTCATCACCATCGGAACCACCAAACAGGCTCGTCTTCTTGCTCACAAATGCCGGGCTGCGTCGCGCGGCGGGCGATGATGGATGAGAAAGTTTTCTGGACTTGTGAGAGGGTGATAAAACGGATCCTGGCGGTGTATCGGCATCAGGAGACCTGAATTCCTTTGGATGCTGCGATATGATGTTGATAGTATCTCCACCAAATGAGACACGCTTCGCACTCGGAGATTGGCGAATACGCTTCGGTTTGTTCGTGGCAAGGCTTGACCGACGTCGAATTGCGGGAGAGCAATACAAAGGAGGCCGGCCTGATGGAATGACGCTAACTTGGATTTGGGGGTGTTTCTTCTCCAGGACCACAGCAGTCCCGGAGCCGTCCTCTGCTTTGATCTCACCTTTCGCGGGGCTTGAGAGATCGCGGCCATTCGGGAGCTCCATCAAGACGCCCCGACCTTTTTTCACAGGAGTAGTCTGCATGATTCGCAAGTTTGTCTCACCGTTCAAAGGGTGAATGTGGGAATGGAGGGGTGGGGCTTCAGGAATGCTCTTACTCACGCTGCAAAGCAGAGCAGGGAGAAAATAAAACAGAGCTAAGTGACAAAGACAGCATTGCAGTTGAAATGGCGCATCACAAAACGGTTGCAAAAGAGGTTGTATGAAGGAAGAGAGCAGCAGGTGGCTTCAAATTTGAATATTTGAAATTGGACTAGGAAAAACTGGCGCGAAGAAGGCGGCCAAAATATTTTCCTTTTTCGAGTTTCTCGGGAAGCGGAGAGGTCACTCATTACAGTATAGCAATGTACAGTACTATATCATAAATATACGTACACGTGTGGGCGAGAAGCCAGAGCCACTCGTATGCACAGTACAGGGGGGTACCCTATTTAGTGCTACCCCGTGTAGCGTGATAAAATAGGCACTAAATCGGGTTTGGCACAAGAACGGTAACTTAACAAGAAGACTGAATATAGTATTTAACTAAGGAAACCCGTCAAGGTCGTCTGTTTCTGCTTCTTCTGTGGCTTGAGAGCCTCAAATATGATGCGTCTAGCCTTGCGCAAATGTGAAGACGCATCAGGTAGCGAGAGAGCTACCGCTGCCGCCTCTAATTTTGAGAACTCATTCGCTGCTTCGATCAAAGAGAGAGAACGAGCCTGATTAGCATTAGAAATCTCCCCCATCACTGTATCTGTATGCTCTGCTTCAGTTCGCCCAGATGAAACACACCTAGACCCATCCATTTCCTCCATAATTCTCTCCACCTCTTCTAGAGCTTCTGTTTCCATGGCCTCTCTGACTTCACTTGAATCCTCTACCATAACCCAACCATTAATATTACTTTCATTTAACGTAGCAATATCAGCGGCATCCCTTTGGTCATTAACATTGCTCACATTTGCATTTTTTGCCTGGAGAGATAGGCCCGACATATCTTTTAAAACAGATTCCATGGCGTCCTGGGCCCGGGGGGCACTTGTTTATCATACCTTTTGGTGTAGAGCCGTTAGAGTAGCACTAAACCGGGACATACACTATATATAGAGGCACTAAATCGGGTACCCCCCTGTACTGTAGAAAGAATCATTCGCTTGTGACAGGTTGACATCTACAGCATTCAACTGTCGGCGAGCAGGAAGCAAGCGCAAGTTCTATTCATTTCCTTCGCAATCAAACCATAGAACCCACCCATTTGGTGCCAGATTATTTTCATCATCTACTCCTCTATGGTTAGGGGTCCTGAACGAGGCCAAGCACTTCAAGCCGGGATTTCTTCACTGGCAATGTACATAATTTACTGGCTTTTTCAGAAACGAAAAACTATATGTCACTGCAAACCCTATAATATAACCTCGCTCTCATTCTTTTAGAGCTAAGCCTCGAAAGCAGTTGCTGGCTATCCAGCATAAAGACTTTTCATCCGTCTAGTTTTCATGCCTGGCGACTAACTATATGGGGCCCCGTGTACTCACAGCTCTGTTTTGGTCGGGTGCTAGTCTATGAGATCGAGAAACTTTTCTGGATGCATATATATAATGGAACAGGATCGTGTAGTACTGTACTAGTGATGGTCAGATCGAAGGAAAATGGGCGTATAACGGCCAGTGTATTGAAGGGTCATTATTGAAGGGTCATTATTGAAGGGTCATTATTGAAGGGTCAAGCACGGGCGCTGATCCGGTCTCGTAGGAACCAACAGAAGGCCACGTAAGATATCAGTCAAATACTACTGCATCAGTCAGCCCAGCAGTCATGTATGAGAAAGCAAAGATCAGTGGAAATACGATGTTCAGATTCGTCTTTCATTTGACAGTATGCAGAAGGGAGAGAAAATGAAAGAAGGAAAAGCCTGAAGTAGGCTCGCACTGGAGAGTAAAGGAAAGGCACCGAATTTGCTCGAGCAGAACGAATGCAAGCCAGTCCATTAATGACTTTCTTCTGGGAAACGTGGCCTGATTTAGAAGAGATAACAAGCAAAGGTCGCATTAAAAATCGTGTGTACGTTCGGAGGTTGGAAAACGTGAAATGACGAAGAGCCTACTCTTTATTTTATCGTGGTACAGTGGGGCGATATCAGAAATAGCAGGAGAGCACGTTAGTCTCTTGCTTTCAGTCTTTTGTTGCCCCGTTCTAAATTTTTCATGAAGGTCCAGTGAGATGGCACGGTGTACAACCATCTTACCTGTCCGTGTAGTAAGTACAACACTTACGCATACAGTAAGGTGCAGCCCCCCAGAAGAACTCAATGCAGCAATTTTGATGAAGAAACCAGCATGGGATACACGGTTCACAATATGAAGTCCAGCAAGCTACTGTAGTACATGACTGCTAGGACACCGCCCTGTCTTTAAATAAAATGAATCCATTTCAATAGATAACCATGCAACTTGTTGAAGAGGAACGGGGCAGGTTTTGCAAAGAGTCTCATGTGCTGCAAACTGAAGCAAGGACCTGGTTATCAATGATCAAACCCCTGAGGGTCTTGGCAGACTCCACGACAGACTTCACGTCACATCTTCACGTCACATCATTGTGCTGTCGCGGATTTCGTCTAGCCTTTGTTGACACTGACATCAGTGCAGTTCTGTATCAATTTGTGTGGTATCTATAGGTTTAATTGCATGCAGGCCTCCCGGAAGGCCTTTGATCGATAATACAGTACCAAGGGTATGTCATGTAAGGGCGAACGGAAAATTGCAATGTTTGAGCAATTTCCATGTGACAATGGGTGCTGTGATAGGTTGCAATACTTTGAGTTTTTCAAGAAATTCAATGGCTTCTTTTGCCCCTACTGTAATTGAGTTTATTGAGAATTGTATTAAAATCACGGTGCATATCGCGTATGATAAAAAACTTTATTTACAACCAGGGAGAACCCGCAATGTGGTCATGCCGTGGCAATGAATCTTCGCGACCCTCGCACTTCTCCGGAAACAGGTAGGGAATGTTGGCATTGTGTACCAAATTTTCTGGATTCTTTCATACTGTACTGTTAACAACCACAGCAAGGATTAGTGTACATGATAGTGCAACGACCTCCTCTCCATCCACATGTCGCGGCTGCGACATGTGGATGGAGAGGAGGCCCTCAGGGCCATTCCATTCATCGTGATTGGCAATCATGCAATCACGCAATCACGCGATCACGACATTAATTTAACGTCTTTCTGCAAGTTGGAGCACAAGATTAATTTTAAGTCGATTGTTTATTTCTTTAATGAGCATGACCATTTTTTAGGAAACGTAATACAAACAACCAACCACAAGGGAGCAGCCACCATTTATTGACGTGATTGCGTGATTGCGTGATTGCCAATCACGATGAATGGAATGGCCCTGAGGTGATGTCATGAGGTCATCATGCCATTTTGACATACTGTACCAAGGGTACAGTACAAAAGAAGCAACTGTGACGCAGAGCGCGTAGCTGTGTACGTAATGTACGAACATGTAAAATATCTGTCATACACTACCATATGCAGGACTGTTGTGAGAACGTCTCTCGGAATGGCGCAAAAATGTGCGTATGCAATATCAAGACGTGAAGGGAAAGCAGGAGGAACAAAGCCGAGAAGACTGGCCACCACAGAGATCCAGGGACACATCTATCCGAATGCGAACTCGAACTGGTGTCGATATCCGAATTAGCGAAGGGCGAAGGGGTGCCTGCGATGAGCGACACGCGAAGGGCAAGCGATGAAACGACGCGAGAAGATGGAGTGTAAGTGGCTTCCACTGAAGGGAGTGGGAGGATAACAAGGGGGGCAGACCGAAGAGGAATAAATGGAGAGGGGGAGGCAGCAGCAAAGCGCCCAGCAGCTTTATGCTGATCGTCTTGCATTACATCACCGTTCTATTTCCCTAACTCGCGCGATGAATACTCCCTCAGCTGTACGGTACCCTTGCGGTAATCCAACCGCGAGGCACTGAGCGAGCTGTAGAACCGGGAATCCACCCCACGTTGTTTATTGTTCTAAGTTCGTTGCCTTTTTTCCTTCTCCGGGGGCGCCTCCCCTTCTGAAGTACACGTACGTCCCTCGAGGGGCCTGTCCCCTGTCGGATCCCTTCCTGTCTCCCCAAATCTCCCTCCAATCCCCCCCGTGCATTGCGCTTCTTCCGCTCCGACCCCTCCCAAGTCCATCTTCCCGCGTACAGCCTGGCCCACCCCCGACGGTCTCCTGCCGCCTTCTTTCCCTTCAGCAACCGACAGCTGCACGATGCGGATCCCCCGCGCCCTCGCAGGAGGCGCAATCCTCTCTTTCGGTTCCGTCCGCATTTGCGCGGGCGCTCGGTATCCGCTCGTAGGCCGCCCTGCACACGTCGCCACGCGCACACGTAACTCTGTCGGAGCAGTACACTACTACTGCACAGGGCACCACTACAGTGCCGTACACGTTCCCCTTCTGGATTTTTTTAAGTCAGATCGCAAATCTCAGTGGTCTACTGTATGATAGGTACCTCTCAGAGGTAGAGCAAAAACATCCATTCGCAAGGATCTACATTGTGTGATGCGATACTAGCCACAAATTACTGTATGTGGGAATATTTAACCATTGAATGTTTTGCCGAGCTTGGTTCATTCAACGAGGACAGATTGATGACTACTCGTTTGTCCTGACTAAATTGATCATCTTTTTCACAATAAGCGACCTAGTGTCGTCATGTCAATATGACATATTTTCGAGAGACATGCATCGTTTCTAGACTTTGGCATGTCACAAAAGCTCTGTAATCTCTCTGTCATCTATGGCCCAATGATATTTTCCGAAAGTAACTGGCAAGGACATTGAAAGGTCTGCATTTCCCTACAACGATCGCAAGTTTCTGAAGCTACCATTGTCAAAATCGTTCTCATAACACAGCAGTACAATATCCTGCAGAACGCCAACTTTTTTACTGCAGCCTTCTGCAACATCAGACACAACACAGCGCCAATTCATTGGAATCCGGATACTGTACAAGCCTCTATGCTGATTGTAACAATGAACTCTGTCTGCCATTCTATCAAACAAGACTCAAAGTGTCATTTCTTGATCGTGTTTCATACAGCGATATAATATCATACCGCGAGATCATAATAGGCAAGGAACGAGGCAAGGTACACGAACCGTATCAAGGACTAATTTTGATCCTGCCCACGTCGAGCAGCAACGGCATTCGGGCGCTTGTGGCATCAAAGAAACTTTTGGAGAATGCTACAGTACTATTCAGACCTAGCAAGAGAGTGAGTCACAGATCATAGTAAGACACTTTACACTCAGTTGTCAAGTCCAAGAACGCAGTCCAATCCGAAGGACATGCCCGCAATATCTTCATTCGTCTGAGTGCTGTAGAGTGGCCTAACACTCGAAGACGCAGACAGCAAATAAGCAGTTTTCGACACGACGCACCACTTCATTAAGGCATACTATATGACCTACACGATCTTTCTTCTTTTCACCGTGATGCATCTCGAGACTTCTACTGTCGAGTGTCATATCAAACCGCTTGTTACTCCATACCTCTGATGCTCATGATTAGGGGAGACGTCCATCTTCAGCAGGGTTCCCAACCGTCACTGCTGCCCTTCTGCATGTTGATAATTTACGCATTCAGAGGCAAATAGGCCGCGTAAATAAGCAAACAATATTCTTTTGAGTGCGACATGTAAGAAAATTGCCTTCATCTGAATGCTTGTGAAACGTCTTATTATGTATAAATACTGTCCAAACCGTCCTCGGATTCAGAGTCATCCTAGGTCGAACGAAAAGGTATGGGAGCTACTTGCACTCAACAGGAATTTCTACAGCTTCGATCCTTGTTTTAATCTGCTTTCTTCTCGCAATGGCATCTTTTTGCGTCCTTTTCTTCGTTGGTTTTCTATTCTCTGTTGCTGCCGCTCAGCAATCCGACACTCCGCAATCCGACAACGCACTGCGCTGCAAAGACCATCCTGCGTATGACCAAGGGCTAAAACCTGTTCTCATTTCTTCGTGGGACTATGACGTCTCATCTCCTGAGTTTCAGCAATTCGTCTATCTTCCCCGCTACAGCAAGCACGTATATGCCCCTGTCGGCGACCCATCTTCAAACAAGTACAACGGTTTGGATCTTTTTTATATTGGGGAAAGTCTGCGCCCGTCGTTCCGGATGACGTTCCAGCGCCCAGCACTTGTGTACTTGCTTGTTAGCGTCGAATCGTCAAACTTTTCGCCTGCAGCAGATGTGACTCTTCTTGGGTGGAGGTCAGAGGGCTGGGTCGAGAGAGTTGATGGAGATAACACAATCACATACGGAATTCACGGTCCTGTTTCTGGGAAAATGCCACAGTATGCCTATGTCTTCTCGAAACCCACGGCCACTAATGGGGACTTCGTCGAAATTCCTCAAGGTCAATTCGTGAAAACAAAAACTGTAGGCATTCCTGTTAATGGAGGCTTCAACATTTTGGTTGCTGAAGCAGATGGAAGCCCAAGCCCGCCAGTCGGAACCTTTCAGGGGGAACCCATTCCTGCAAATGAGAAATGTCCCGACAAGTTGCATGCTGTATGGATGACCGAAGACGACAACAACGACGATATTGACACACGAGGAGTTAAGTTTGAAACTTGGCATCCTGCATGGGACCCTTGCTTTTGGTGGTACGTTGGTATTGTCTTCCCTCTTGCATCAGCGGTAGCCCTACATTTTCTCGCAGAGGATGAAAGCATCTAACACAAACAACCAAATGTTTCTTCTTCCTGTTCCTATCCTTAGCGCGTACGACCATGAACATGGTTCTAATCCAAGGAAGATCATGGGTTACACACCTAAATTCACATACACAAGCAGGAAGAACAACCGGCAAATGGAGACCCCGCGCGGGTTTAAAGGCTTCGTACTAAGAACAGGTCCTTACTACGTCTACTGCAGTTTGCACGTGGTGCAATCGAGTTTAAATCGAGTTACAACACGGTTCCACACGATCAATTTTGCAGTTGTCGACCGAAACACAAAAGAGTTGTTGATGGACATCCAACACAAGGGTGATTTTGGATGGACGGGCGTGCGCTTGTTTGACAAGAAGACATTCGAGCCGATTGACTCAACACAGCAGAACATTCAAGTCGCACAATTGAGCGGGCCGAACAACTTTCGGAGCATTAACGTTCTCGAAAATCCAAATAATCGATTTGATACGAGTAGAGTCCCAAAGGAACTCGGGCAGTATGAAGAATGGCAGACTCTGCCCATGTGCATGGAGATGAAAAATAGAGATTCACTACTCGCAGTGATATTGAAAACACCTAATACCGGCATCAAATCGCTGACGCGGCAAAATGACTTAGTCAGACTGGGCCGCCCCGGAAAATCCGAGCTTAGGCAATCCAGTGGTCTCAACCGCTCGTTGCGATTTAACAATTTGCAGTTTGGCGCAGAGTTCTGTCCGGATTCTGGAGCAAACGGTGGCTATTTCTACACGGACGCTAATGGAACGGAAATTCGGTCGGGACCGGGGCCGACATCAGTCCGGCAGTTTGTGAAGCCTGGATTTAAAGGCACACTAGATGGACGGTATGAGGTCGAAGATATTTGGAGCGGACTTTATGAGGAGGATGCCAGAGGGTTCTTTGCGGGCCATGGATATGGGATTGATCCTACATGGAACTAATCGTAAAGAGAAATTAAAAGAATGTGAGCAGCCGGAGCTAGATAGCCATGCTTTTCTCTGAAAGATGATAAGCGCCTCATGACTCTGACCCGGCGATATATGTACCCCGTAGAAAGTGAATATCTTTGGACGGAATGACGGTTCTCGAGGAACAACTTCTTCCATTGTCTAAGATAGAAGCCTTGCAACTCTTACGAAGACATGCGAACAATCTGTCTAAAATTGCGCAGAGCTTGTGTTCATGGACTCAACCTTCAAGAGTTATACTCCCAGGGGGAGTGGAGGGGCATACAAGAGAGTAACTAGACCAGTGCATGATGGCATACCACGTGCTCTATTCTGATTCAACGAAGAGAGTCCTTCACATTGTGACTTTTGTCACGTTTTGGACTGGAAGTAAGCTTCTTAGTTATCAGCAGTGTGGTCTTCACTGTTCAGAGCCGTCCGTCAAGATGTGTTGATAAGAATCAGTAGTATTGAAGTTCATATTCTCAGCATGTACATAGTTTGTATATGAATGACAGCACTCGAACGCGTAGTCGAACTACCGTTCAGGTCGTTCTTTCCGTTCGCGTTTGCGAGCTGCTTGGGCACGCCAGAGTTGTTCTTCCCGTAGTTCCTCATTCCGCATCAAGAAATCCTTCCTTCTCGCTAGCTTCTCGTTCTCCAACATGCTGCGAGACGAGTCCGGCTGCGATACACCTTCATCAAATCCCGCAGGGTTCACGTTGTCCTCATCTGTGCGGTCGGCATAAAGTGCCTGCGCGTCGATTTTCTTCTCCAGCAAGTACCTTCCCACAATCTTTAACGTCCCAAGTTGTTGAAACGATACTGAAATGCAGTCATGGTACGAGGGAGTAAATTGTTCGCAATGCTTGATGTGCCATTTATGTCGCAGTGACGGTTCTACAGCACGAAACACCTCATAGCGAGAATCTTTCAAAAAGGCTTCGCTCAGGGCGACGTCTTCCCCGCCCCACCCAACAAACATATTTTCGGCATTTTCATATGCCCCAATGGCATCAAAGTCGGACTTATACATACAGCTCATTCCGTATGATGAATCTCTCCAGTACCCCGCATCCTTATCGATACGCGAGCTACGCGCGTACAAGTTGTAAAATACGGGAAAATAAACCTGGCTCCCTTGAATGGAGTTGTACCGACAGCTGTCAAACATCGGGGGAAAAATGTACATATCGATGTCAGTGACAAACATGATGCTGTCGGGCGGGACGGCAGCTGATCCTTCCCTGATAGATATGGAGCGGGAGAAGAAGCCTGTTCTATCGCCGGGCACCAGGGAGATTTGCACGTCCTTCTGAAACTTGATAGACTCAACGAGATCGTTGGATGCGGCGATGTCCTGCTGGGCTTCTTTGCACACGGCGAGGATCAGATGGACTTGCACATTGGCGGCGCGCAAGCGATCGAACTGATCTAGAAACCATTTTAACCGGCCAGGACGTTTCGAGTAGGGTACAACCATATGGACGGGATGTTGCCACACAGACTCGTCAAACTGCTTGACGCCAATGTAGCACATGCCCTCGAAAGTACGTTGCACGGAAACAACGTCACGACGGTTAGGGAGGGAATCACTTGCAGAGTCGAGATGGAAAACATATCTAGAGCCGCGGACCCTGTCGAGATGAGAGTACCCGAGGGTGTAGTTGTGAACGACAATGGAATGGTCGCGATAGAAGGAGCGTAAGGCGTGTTGGGAATAGGTGAGAGAGTTCCTGATATCGGTGGGCCGTCCGCGGCCGGTGGAGCTAAGATTAGTGACAATGTCGGAGGTGGGCTCGAAGAGGTAGACCTTGAAGAAAGTAGAAAAGACGCGGGTGAGAGCCGGTGGGTCGACGTCGCCGGGGACCGGATGGGAGAACTCCGCCGAAAAGCGCGAAGAGGGGTCGAAATGGAGGAGGGGGAGCGGGGTGGCGAGCGCACAAGGGTCGTGAAACGTGTCGGAGTGAGAGGGGTTTGGGGTGTATGGCAAGCGGAAAGAGGAGGTGAGGGCGGGAAAGACTGAGGAGAAGGCGCGCTGCAGGAGAAACAGGAGGAGGATGAGCGGGATAAGCAGGGAGAGGGCGACGCAGGGGGAGAGGGAAGTGGACTTTTGAAGAAGAAAGCGCAGGTTGGCGAGGTTGTTCTTGACGACAGGGCGGAACTGAGACGAGAAAGGGAGAGAGGAGCGGGGCGATTCGGTGCGGGTTCGGAACGGCATGGCAACAACAAGCGCGTAGGAGGTTGGGTGGCTGCTAGATATGGGTGATGCGGGACATGTCCCAGGCCTCGGGAAGGGCGGTGAGGAAGATGCCAAAGGTTGTGGGCGGGGGGGGGGGGGGGGGGGGGGGGGGGGGATGGGAAGGAGAAGGGATAGGAGAAGCGGGCCGCTGCAGGCCTTTCCGTGGCGCGTTGTTGACGTGTGATCAAGGCTATGGCAGCTGAGGGCAGCTGAGGGCAGCTGAAGGGTACTGTATTCGGATTGTGAACGTTGGGCGACTGCGTCAGGTTCACAGTAAGCTCTGTGTCTGGCTGTAATAGAAACCGTACACGGACTGGTGGAACGTACAGTATGGCGCGGTCCATGCCTGTCGTCAGGGACACGCGTCCAAGAGTTTTTATGCGTTAAAAACAAAGGGAAAAAAACACTCGCTACCCTTCGAAGGGTAGCGCTTGAAGTGTGAATGGGCTAGGAGATTGGGACGGGTGCCGGTCTGAATCGCGATCTCCAACCTAAACGTTCATTACATTGCATTACAGTTGTAACATGGCCCGGTCAGCTTCTGAATGAGTCGGGCCCCAGAGCGAGATGGGCGGTGTGTGGCCCGGCCCGTGCATTGCTGATTAGCACGGAGAGACACGTGGTGGGCGAGTTGTAATCCATAAGCCCATCCATAAGGAGGATTTGGAGTTGGGGAGGAGGGATATGTGCGCCGCGAAAATGAAGGGAAAAAGCTGTGTGCGACGGAGGTGCCCTTCATTGCTGTTACGATTGCTTCCATTTCCCAGGGTTCCCATCCCTTTTTCGCCTCCCTTTTTGCACATTCGTTGCCACATCGATGCTCTCGTGAGCCCCCGCCATTTTTAATCGTCTTTCATACATTGTCGCCACGAGGTCCTTATTTATTCAACCGCAAAGTTGTGGACGCGACTTGCCTCGGTGTAACGTTTCACTTTCCTCCCATGTCTGGTGTACAAAGTTTGTACACCAAACACGCAGTCTCGACTCATCCGGGCTTTCCTGCACGCCCCTCGTACTGTACGACTGTCTCAGCCCCTCACTCTCTCCGTTCCTCACAGACCCGACCGAACCCCCTCACCCTCCCGCCCTCTTTTTACCTACCCGCGGTCTTTTAACCTTGTCCACCCTCCCACAACCGCTGTTGTGGACCACCTGTTCAGCCCTCCACATACTCCCAAACAACTTCCCACCCCCATCCCCCTCATCCCCCCGGTTAAGCCCCGACTGCCTGACAGTGACACAGTCACTTACCCCCCCCCCCCCCCCCCGGCGTCGCCACGAAGGGGGCGGATTTTGCTCCCCTCTCCCTCCCCACGGGCAAAAAGA